TTTTTTTTTTTTTTTAATCATTGCCATTCTAATTGGGTTGATGTGGTGGTATCTCATTGTAATTTTGATTTGGTTTGTGGTTCAATCATTGATAATCTTCATATAATTAATATTTTAAGTACAATGAAATATGGTAACTAAAATGACAATTCAATATATTGAATTTTTAAAACAGTTTTAGCAAGAGCACTGATTAGCTAAGAAATACTTACCGCAGTTGCCTGTGGATTATTGGGGTAGACATTGAGGAGTTCCTCAGGCGGGTTTAAAGGCTTGAGATAACGTGTAATAAAAACGGTTTTTCCACTTATGTCAATTACTGATGTAAGGCACTGACGATTTGGAAACTTTAAAGCACATTCAGCTTGAAACTTTTCTGTTGCTTGAAGCAATTTCTCATCTTCCTGAGAATCAAACTTCAAAAAGAAAAGACACCATGGAGTTTATATATGGTTACAGGAAATACAATAGAACATGTTCAGATTTCACATGAATTAAATGTGGACTCCAGGAAGTGTGAGTAAATGAGCCCTTACAAAACCACCATGTCCTCTTGACCCTGAGGCTACGTGATTATTTATGATTGAAAAATTAGGCTGATTCCTTAAATACTTGAAATATATCCAACAAGATTCAAAGAAAAAATTCAATAGGCAAGTAACCATCTGGAAACTACTAGAATAAAAGAACCTATAAAAATTAAATATGATGCACTATGTATGATGTTTATTTTAATGTTGGTTTTATTGGGGACTAAGAATTATGACATCTCAAATGTAAAAGTTAAGCAGCTCATGTCCAATGAATGGCAAATTTACACACACATGTGGATGTGTTAAAAAGTTTCAAACCTACAAGCAGTGTAATAAATAATAGTAGTGGATTTCAAAGAAAAAGAAAGCAGGGCTAAGAAAGTTAAGTGTATAATAATCATTTTAAGTGCTTTTCTGATCCACTACGAGGTACCAATTGCCAGTTGTATTTTTTTGAGTAACTCAAAACACATGAAACAGAACAAATTTTAATTGCCTTTAGACATATATTGTAATCATTTTTTTTTCTCAAGCCATTGGTAGAAAATAGCAATAATACAGCAGATATTTTAGTATGTTGACAAGGTCATAATGTTTTTACAGGATTTTTGTTGTTCAGTCAAAAAATGTACACATGTTGGCTTGTACATCAGAGTTCCAAGGAAAACTCAAAATCCAATTCTATGAGAACAATTCCTTGTTAGGTAGAAGTCAGAGTGTAGTCTGTGCTTGACTTCCCTGGAGGATGGCAATCCATCTAGCCACCCACTCCTAGCCACTTTGTTTTTCTCTTTAGCCCCGAGAGTGCTGACATGGGATACTTTTGTTTACTCTGGGTCTCCCAGAGAGCAAGATTCCTAAAGTCAGGGACTTTGTCTTGATGTTGCTTTTTATCTCCACTACAAAGAGCACTAGCTGAGGTATAGTGCTTAGCAAATATCAGTGAGTGGGTAAATGACTAAATTGAAAACACCCCTCCACTTTTGTAAGACCTCAAACTGAATCTAAACGGTTCTGATTGTTCTTGACCTTATGTTGGGGCTGGACTGTGGCTTCCATTTCTAGGTTTGTTATTTTTTGGGTAAATTTTTATGTATGTATGTATGTATGTATGTATGTATGTATGCCGAGAATATACACAGCAAAACATACACCAATTCAACAATTTCCACATGTACAATTTAGTGACACTGGTTACATGTCATGTTGCGCAACCATTCTCTCCCGCCTATTCTAAATTGTTCCTCCCTCATTAACTTCAACTCACTGTCCCCTGAGGTTCCTGTCTAACCTTGCAAGTTCTGTTTTCACTTTGGTCCCATAAGTCATTCTTCAAAAAGCATAGTGCTCAAGGCAGACCTTTTTTACTAGTTAAGTTAAACTGTTGTTCTGTTTTAAGATGACTTCAGGAGGATGTTTTTGGTTTAGTGTTTAAAGATTATCTCAAGGCAATATTTTCAGGGGTTCATCTATCCTCCATGGCTCCAACAAGTCTAAAATCCATGAAAATTTGAAATTCCATTCTACATATTCCACCTTTTGATCAGGATTCTTCTATGGAATCTTTGATCAAAATCTTCAGTAATGGCAGCCAGGTACCATCCTGTTCTTCTAGTCATACGGCAAAGGAAGCAATTGTTCATGGGGGCAATCAGCCACTCATTCCACATCCTCCTCTTCCTCCTGACTCTCCTCCTTTCTCTGTTGTTCCAGGTGAATAAAGGCCAATTGTTGTGCTTTGGTTGGCTGTGTGCAGGCTTTGAAAACCCCAGGCACTAGGCAACGAACAAGAAGGTAGAACAGAAACACTAAACACATTATTAGGTCAATTAACTGGAATGTTCCATGAAACTATGGCCCTAAACCTCCAAACCAATAACCAAATCCCATGAAGTGTTTGCTTGAACATAAGCAGTCTTAGCAGCTATTCCCACCCCCCCCCCTTTTTTGGAAGGGTGTCATTTTTGTAAATAGATTTATCACACAACTTTTGCCAATCCAACTTTTTACAGGTACACAACTTACTGACAGCAATCACAATGATTGGCTGTGTAATCCTACCCTTAATCAATGAGATTTTCCCATCACCATTAAGCCCTTTTTTCCTCATCTCTCCTGCCCCTGGTAACCACTAATAAATTTTTGGTCTTTATATATTTGCCTTTTCCTGTCTTTTTTATATCAGAGAGGTCACATTATATGTCCTTTTGTGGTTGGCTTATTTTGCTCAGCATAATTTCTTCAAGTTCCATCCACACTGTACCATGTATAAAGACTTCATTTCTCCTATTGGTTGAGTATTCCATTGTATGTATTTACTGCATGTTTTTTTAAATTTTACTTTTATTGTGGTGAAAACATACATAACAAGACATTTGCCA